CTATGTTCTTCTAACTACTATGGTTACTATTACCATCCCTGGTAGATGGGGAAACTGAGGTATGCAGCTTTGCATAAACTTGCCTAACATCACCATGCTATGAAGTGGTTGAAACAAGGGTCTGATGTAGGGGATTCTGGGTCCAAACTTGGAGCCTTCCCACTTGTGAGTCTTCTACGTGTTTGGATAGAATCAGGCAAGCACCCTCAGGGAAAGCTAAGTGGGGCCCAGAAAAAGAGAAACAGGATTCTTTCGTAGCACTGAGGTAAGAACCGGAAGGAGTATTGTTCAGTGCCTACCACACCGTGTGGAAGCTCTGGACCAAGAAGTCGGGAGCAAATGCACACTCAGGACTCCATCACCAGGTCCCCTAGGTCACAGGGAGGACTTCTGGGAAAGCTGATAGGGGTTGGACAACAGAAAGGGATTTCCCAGCTTAGCCCGGGAAGGTGCTACGTGCTGGGGGTTGGGGGGCAGCCCTTAGAAAATCAAAGCCAAAAACCAAGGCTCTCTCTCTGTAAAGAGCCTATGGAGCACAGCAGACTGTGAATGAAACATTTGGCCTAAGTTACCTCATTTGTTCCTTACAACTCTGGAAGGAGGAATTATCATCAGTCACCGAGCGCAGAAGAGGACACGAGACAGACAGCGTGAGCAGCTTGTCCACAGCCACACACCCACCAAGTGGGTCTCTACACAGGCTCTAGGGGACTGTTCTCCAAATGCCATATGCCTGACCGTGTGCCAGGCTGTCTGCACGGTTGCTCATTTAGCAGAGAGAATGGGGGTAAGGCCTGGCCCTTAGGAGCTGGAGACTGGCTTCATATACAGACTGCTGAATCCCTGCTCTCTGGTGAGGACAAATATCCAGGTTTATCTGCAAAGGAGGCAAAAGATCAAATCTAGCCTCAAGAGACATCGTACTAAAACAACAAAATCGGTAACATAGGTCTGGAGAGATGGCTCAGCAGTTAAGAAGTTAAGCTGTTTTTCCAGAGGACCAGGTTTCGACTCCCAGCACCCACAACTGTCTTGTACCTCCAGTCCCAGGAGACGTGACACTCTCACACAGACCTACATGTGGGCAAAACACCAGTGCACATAAAATAAAAATAAGTAACTCTTTTATTAAAAGATTAAAAAAAATCAGTACAGCACGTGGCACACTGAGAGTTATAGATTGTAATCCGCAAGACAAGCTGTCACACACTGCATGGCTGAGACTCAGCCAAAAAGGAAGCTAGTTCCTTACCCAAGGATGGAAACCTGGGGCTCAAACACCATCTCCTTAGATCTGGTGCCAGAATCTAATGCAGGGACTCTTAACCTTGGGTCTTACTGCAAGAGTTGGGATCTAGAGACTGGCCCTTCCTCAGCCACTGCAGGGAATTGCCTCTGGGTTCCCAGAGTGGACTCCGACTCTGCGTCTTCTGGTCTAGAGAAGATAGGAAGGGGGCTCTGCAGCCCCTCCCCCAGTTGTGTGGAGACCGAGGTAAGCCAGCGTGAGAAAACAGAATAATCTCTCCAAGTGGGCAGCTATAAACAGGACAGCCATCTCACATCCCACTGCCATGCCCTCCCCACCCCACCCCCCGCCAGCTCCCTCCACAAACACATAAACACATGAATCATGCAGAAGAGCTGGCAAGGCCATAGAAAAAAAGGGCAGATACCAAGACCAAGGGAGGAAACGATGGCCCAGTTCCAGGCCCCACCAAGGTAGAGAGAGAACTGGGGATACGGCAGTGTGGCAGCCGGAGACAAGAGGAGTTTCCCAGGCGCCAGCGACTTTGGGAGAAGGGAGCAGGCTAGCCAGGGAGGTGCAATAGTGTGTCAGGGTTGAGGATTGCTTCCGTGAGAGAAGAGAGGAGCCAGGGCTAGGGGCGGTAGAGCCAGGAGCAGCACTTCTGCACATGGATATATATCAAGTCCTCATATTTGGGGTTCCAAAAGAGGGACTAAGTCTCCACATGGTTTGGGGGCCAAGACTGAAAGGGGGGTATGTCATATACTCCTCCTTGTTTGCTCTCATCTCCCGCCTGCCTGGAAGGCACCTATCTGTATGAAATTGCTGGGACAGAATCCAGGACATTCGCTGGCATGGCATCTCCCCCATCCTGGAGGGCAGCTGAGTAGAGAGGAGAGGGCAATGAAAAGCCACTGGGGAAGCAGAGAGCCAGCTGTCAGGGTGTGGAGCCGAGAGCACTACATTCTACCCAGCCTTGGGCCCAGTTATGCAGGGCCAACACCCCAGTGTTCACGTGCTTCTCATTAGGCTCATTAGCAGCAAAACAGCAACAAGCAAACAGCACAGGGACCAACAGATTACCACACAGCCCTTCGCTGGGCGGCCTGCTTCAAGCAGCATAGGCTGGTCCTCCAGAGAGCTGCCAGCCTACAGCCCGGTCCGAGAGTGAGGGGACAGGTTTTACGGGGTGGCGCAGCATAACCAGGCTGGACAGAGAAATAATGGGGAGCGTGGGCACCCTCCGAGACATGAGGGTGCACGCATGCTCGGTCTGAGACAATCTGCACTCATCCAACCTCAAGTTTCCAGTGTTGAAATTACAGTTTGGCAAAGAAGAATACTGGAAAATCACAAGTGAGTTAGAAGCAACCTGCAGGCCTGGAGGGCTGAGTGTGGCCAGGCCCAGACCCCTCAGGCCCCAGGGTTTCAAGCCCACCCCTTGTAAGGCTGCCCTCTTCCAGCTAGCCTCAGCAAAGGAGGCTCCCTGCAAAGGCGGAGCTCTCTGGAACACACCCATATCCTCCCCCAAGCTTGAACAGAGTTCCCAGGGTCCCGACGGGGTCTGGAAGTGTGGTTCCTGGCCCTGCAGCATCAGCAGCCCCAGGGGGCTTGTAGGAACCATAGTCCCATGTCTGCCTCGGATCTGCTCATCAGAATGGTCTCTCCAGTGTCGTTCCCTGGAGATTTGTGACAACATCCAGCCATGAGTCCCTTCTGGTAGCGGACCTGATAGTGGACCCCGAACTCTCCTCCAGAGTGTTCAGCCACAGTTACAGCCATCGAAGATGCTTTTTAAGATGCCGGCATCATGCCCTAGCCCTTAGCCTCTGCCTTGCACAAAGCTACTGGGTCACCCACTTCCCTGATTTCTCTGCCCAAGGGAGTGGCTTGAAGATGATTTGATCTCACACTGTCCTCTAGGGAGGTGAGGGACCCTGAGCAAGTCACCACTTCTCCAAAGGGCTCTTTTTTTCACCTTTGAAAATATGAATGAAGGTGGGGGATGTGGTTCCATTATAGAGCATCTGTCTAATACAACAGCCCTATGCATAGAGCTCCAGCACTACAAAATGATTAATAATAATAATTAGGAGAAGGAGGAGGAAAAAGAAGAAGACTTAGTTGACTTATAGCGTACAGTCACTGTACTTGAGAAGGTGAAGCAGGAAGTTCATGAGTTTGAGGCTAGGTAAGGCTACAAAGTGAGATCTTGTCTCAAAGAAAAAGAACGAAAGAAAGGGGGACCCAGATTCCTTCCCAGTTTGGTCTCTGGTCACAGAGGACCTGCGCTCTCATGGTCCCACTCATCCAGGCAACCTGAAAAGGGTACATAGGCAAGACCACTGCTGGGTTTTTGTCTGTAGGTCCTTCGAGCTGTATGTACAGATAGCAGAAGGGCCAGGGCCGTGAGGCCTGAGGCAGGATCCTAGGGTTTGATTATTTTTATCCTGTTCCTATCACAACCCGATTACGCCTCCATCTCAAGACGCACTGGGAATGACAGAAAGGGCTTCCGCCATGCTGGGAACACCAGGCATGCAGCACACCAGTATTTTTAGCTGTGAAACTCAGTGCATCCCTGAAGGGAAGAAGTGGCAAGACCAAGACCTCACAGTCAGGCTGGGGTCTGTCAGAGTCAGTGGCAGCTACAAAGGGGCGGGGAGAGACAATTGGGCAGGGAGCTGATGTAGACCCAGGAGGAAGCCTGGGGTGCAAAGGAGAAAGGAGTTCCCCATGTCCCCATACCCTGAATCACCTGAGGGCAATGCCAGTCACAGCTTTTGTAGAGAGGTCACGGGCCAGGGGCAAGGCTCAGCATGTGCAGGGCTCTACCCTTGGCCGTATCACCCAGCCAAAGCCTTGGTTTCCGCAAAGGTGGAGGATAAGTAAATATGCTTGGAGAAGCTTGACTGTGAAAATGCCCATGGCGAGCCTGGCCAGGGGTTGGGCAATCATAACACCCAACTCTTAGCTAGTAGCAGCCCCAGGCTATACACTACCATCCCCAACACCCCCGCGCAGAGCGACGACCAGAAGATAGGATTATACACCCGGTAGCAGGGTATAGAAGCATTCTGGAGTCAGGTTGTCTGAGTTCCATTCTGCTCCTGCTGTCACCTGACTAGTTTTTTCTTCTACCAAACGGGAATGTTAAGCACACTTTGTATAAAGTAAGTACTACGTAAATACTGGCTCTTGACATGATGTGGGTCACGGTTCTCCCACCCTTGGGTAAGGGGCCAGCCTAGAGGCCATGACTCTCCTGCCCCCATCCTTGGTCTCCACGTAGCTAAGAGGATGTCTTTCTTTCCCCCACATTTAAGACACCTTGGCAGGCTTCAGAGTATCTGAGAGAAGGCTCTTCCAGACACAGACTCGGAGCCTTATCTGATCATCCTAGCATCATGCCTGCCTGATAGGCCAGGACGGTGAGCCAGGGGCCAGGGCAGAAGTGGATTCCTACAGCTCACAATAAGAATGGTGCCCCTGGAGGCATATTCTGCATATCGAAAACATGGACACCAACACAGTGGACCAGAAGAAAGAAATGCAGGAAGTTTAAAAGACGAACAGGAATCTGCTTGAGAAACAGTTTTCTTTTGGAGGCATCTTTAAACCTCCCTTCCACTGCTCATCGCCTGTCCTCTGGACACTGGCTGCATCCTCAGGAGGAGGCCCAGGGAGAGCTGTCCGCTGCAGTTCCTGGTCTATCTCAAGAGCAAGAGGGGTGAATGGGGCAGGAGGCACTCACGTTTGATACAGTGGTTCGTGCTGTTTGATGTCGTCCAGCCTGGACAGCACTGTCCCCCGCAGACGTTCCTCCTGTGGAGTCACCAGAACAGTGTTAACACAAGGATGCTGGGAGCTGGGGCTGTTCGAATGGCCCCCTTCGGGCAGGGCTTGGGGAAGCACTCGAAGGCTAGAAAGACTGTCCCATTCCACAGGGAGGCCACCTGGTCCAGGAACGAACAACAAAGAGCAAAGCTGTGATGAAGAGCAAAGCTGAATCTTGTCCCTCCTGACATCCCCTGCATACCCCATTTGCACAATGAACATAATGCCTGCCTCGCTGGGTGACTGTGATAAAAAGCTGTCTAGGACCCAGCACAGAGCAGTCAATACAGGCAGAGCATGGCGGTATACTGACAGGGGTTCTAGGCCAGCCACGGCTATGTATCGAGACGTCATCTCAAACAATAAAACACACACACACACAGAGGAACAAGGACAAGGGGGTAAGCAAGCACAGAGAGTTTCATTTGCTTGCCAAAGCCACGTACCCACTGAGTGCCAGAAACAGATTCAAATCTAGGTTGGCAGGCTAGTGGGTATCTCAGTGAGAGCACGCCTGCCCAGCATGCTGGAGGCTCTGGGCTTTATCCAGAACACCGAAAACAAAACAAATCAAATCAAAACAAAACAAAACAAACCCTAAGTTGGCTGAACTCTAAGCCAGGCTCGAGGTCTATAATGTCTCTCACCAAAAACCGCACACTATTCTCCTTGCCTGCAAAATGCTGACAATTCCAGGGAAGTCATGTATAAATAGAGTCTCATGGATATGTCTGTGTGTGCGCGCGTGTGCGCGAGACCTTCCCGTGCCAAGTAGGAGACTAAATAAACAGGGCTCTCAGGTCATTGTTCGAGAAAGGCTTCCAGGGTGACGGCTCCCAAGAAGGGGGCGTAGCTAAGCTGCCTCTGCCCAGCAAGCACACTTTCCACTTGGGAAGGCCACAGAGTGTGGTACACGGGCGATGCACCTAGCCCTGACACCTTCATGAGAACTCAACGTTTGGTCCTGGGGGGACATTCACGCCACGTGTCTGGGCGTTGTCTTCAGGTGTCTGGCGAGAGCCATCAGAAGGTTCTCCAAAGCTCTCCACCTGCAGACAAGGGAAGCTCCCTAGAAAAAGTATTCCTTGGGTCAGACCCCTGGGGTCAGAGCAGGCGAGGTTGGCTCTGCCTCTCTGGGCCTAGTCACAAGGAACAGAAATGAAACGGGGTGAGTGGGAGTGGGTGGGAGAAGTAGGGGAGCCAGAGGCTGGAGTGGGTGGCCATTCCTGGGATCCTTGGGGCCAAGATGACGAGCATCTGGTGCCGCTTAGGAGATTGTTTGACATCTGAGTGGACCCCAAAGCTTGTGCGGTTGTGGGAGTCATACGAAGAATTCAAAATAAATTCCTAAAGCCTGCAAAGGCTGAGGCCCATTCCTGGCCCTTGCTCCCAGCATTGTGGGGCACGGCCTCCCAGGAAGCTTACAGAATGGCCTGCCGGCCAAGAGCTCTCTCTTGCTGGCCACCAACTCCAGCACCATCCTGATTGCATAAAGTTCTCCTTCCAGTCAAGGCCCAAGTCAACAGGCCCCAAGGAGAGAGCTACCCACTCCCCATCCCCACCCCCAGGCCCAGGGCCTTCCAGCATGTACCCAGTCAGAAGGGAAAAACAGTCCAGTCATTTGGAAGTCTCTACTCCTTGTGGTAGTGACAAGGCCTCTGAGGCTTGGAAGGTCTTTGAGAGAAAACAGGCTGCACGCCCGGGCAGTTTTCTGAGAAACAGCGCCTGTGGGAACTGAGCATAGACCAAGAAGCCTACTTGGCTGGGAATTCATAGCATAAATCCTGCCCCAAGAGACTCCCCCCAAGCTACCCATCACCCCAGCCAGGCCTACCTTGCCCTGCTTATTGAGGAGTCCTAAGGGATGTCCCGTGCTTAGAGCAGAGACTGGCCAGGGTCAAAGGCTGCCAGCAGAAGGGACAGGATGGTGCTGGAAGGGCACTTAAAAGGGACTCGGATACCAGTGGACATCTCTGAGGATATTGCAGGCCCAGCCAGGAGAGCAGCCGGGAGGCCACTGCATCTGCCTCATGTTTGCTGTGAGAAACCTGCATAATCCCAGACTTCCACATCAGACATTATCTTTGTGTGTGTGTGTAAAGCTCCTCCGACCAGTGTCCAGCCTCCCTCCAACTCATTTGTCATCATTTAGTAGTGGTGGCTCATGTCCCTGGGGTCTACCTCTCTACTGGGTATCCCTTCTCCTCTTTGCCTCTGTAGGCCAACACAGTGCCTAATGCATGGTATACATGAAATACTCCTTTTATTCACCCAATCCAGGGCTCCTATGGAAGTGGGCTGAGGGTAGGAAAGGGGGTGTTGGGTTTACACGGCTAGCAAACTCAGCAGCACTGACTCACGTGGCAAGGACGTGATTCCCTGTTCCGTGATTTTCCTAACCTACTTAGGCTAGTGAGCAGGTCTCCATCCGCGGCTAGGTCTTCATGTTGGGTCGTGCCCCTGGGCACAGCCAGTCTGCTTCTCCATAGAGGGCACAGGCCACACGGTTCAGCTTCCTGACCTGAACTGAAAACTTTTTCTTTTTAATTTCAAATTTTCCTACATTTCTTCATTTCCTTTCTCCTTTTTGACAAATAGTACTACTTTTAACTTGCAATGATGATACAAAGTTTCCTTTTAATTACGGACTTATTTATGCAGAAAAAAATGAGTCAGGCTCTGTATGTGATGATAAAAAAAATGTTAACTCATCTAAACAGCCAGAAACAGAAGGATGGATAAATAAACTGTGGTATATTTAGACAAAGGAACAATATACAACAGTCAAAATGATTAAACTTGAGCTGTATATTATCACAGTTAAATCTCATATGCCTAATAAGGAAGGAAAGACATTGGAGAGGAGTACAATACCCTACCACTTATCTAAGTTTGAAATATGCAAGGCAATATTGGGTGCTCTGTGGCAATAGTATGAAACACCCTGGAAATGTTTAAAGCCAAAGCAGTGGTTAGCTGGGGAAAGAGGGAGGCAAATTTGTAGAAGAAATTTCAACTCTAGTCTTATTGCAACTTGATGTGCCGTGTTTGGTTTTTATCCCTGGGAGGCCTGCCCTTTTCTGAAGGGAAAGGAGATGAGGTGGATCTGGTGGGGGGAACTGGAAGGGGAAGAGGGAGGGGAAACTGAGGCTGGGATGTAATTATATGAGAGAAGGAAAAGAAAAAGAAATATAAATATAAAAAAGAAAAAAAAAGCCTGAAAGTAAATGAAATTGTGAGCTCTGTTATTTCCAGTGCCTTCAATATTCGTGTCAAATTCTATAACTGATTTCAAAAGTTATAACATGGAATCCCGTCACTTTAATAATGTGTTGATAAAGGAAAAAAAAAAAAAGCTGGCAAGGTGGCGCTACCAAGCTTACAGCCTGAGTTCAATCCCTGGGACCCACTTGGTGGAAGGAGAGAAGATAAGAGAATACGAGGGAAATGTAAAGACGGGCGGTTATGGGGCAGCTTCCAGAAACACTGAGTACTGGGATCAGCGGCTTAGTGAGTCTCTGTGGGCTGTTCCGTAGCCACATTGTGCACTACTATACCTCAGACACTTAGCACAGTGCCTGGCACATATTTTCTTTAAATACCAGTACATCAACAATTCCATAAGGACAGGACAGGGTTTATCTGTATTTTATTTTATTTTATTATTTTATTTTATTGGTCTTGGTTTCGGTTTTGGGTTTGGGTTTCTCTTTCCCTGGCTGTCCTAGAACTCATTCTGTAGACCAGGCTGGCTTCAAATTCAGAGATCCGCCAGCCTCTGCCCCCAGAGTGCTGAGATTAAAGGCGAGCACTACCACCACCTGGGAGTTTATGTATCTTACCCGACGCTATACCCCCAGGGTCTGGAATAGTGCATATTGAAGGAGTTAAAAAAAAAAAAAACAAAAAAAAAAAAAAAACCAAAAAACTCATGAGAAACAGTGCAGTTCTATATTCCACCAGCAGATGGCACTTGGTCCCTAGCTCTAACCTGCACCCCGTGGCCAGAATGGATGTGGATTGAGGAAGTTAAAAAATAATTTTGTCCCTGGGCCCCTCCCCAGGGGGATGAACGGGCTGCCAGAGGAATCCATATCTGCCAAAGCTGACTGAGGAGCCAACTTCAGCATGGGAACGCATCTGTGTTTGTAGCAGGTGCCTGTGGGTGGCACCCAGCCCACAGCTACCCACCTGGGTGTTTCTGCCAGCTTGGTCCTGGTGACAAAGCTTTGCTCCACTTTATGATTCTGTTTTATGTTATTTCATTTTTTGCTTTCTTGAGACGGGGTTTCTCTGTTTAACAGAGCCCTGGCTGTCCTGGACTTGCTTTGTAGGCCAGGCTGGCCTCGAACTCTGCCTTCCTGAGTGCTGGGATCAAAGGCTTGCACCACCACTACCAGCTTACCTTATGATTTCTAATAGCATCTTACAACACACACGCGTGCACACACACACCTGAAGTATAATCCCGGCCCATGACAGCCTAAACTTCATTTTCCTCAGCCCCTGGCTCCCCTACACTGGGGCTTCATTCTCACCCCTGGGCACACCCAAAAAGCCCTTGTTCTGAGGCAGTGGTAAGCCTGCGTGACAGCCGCCTCTCTAGGCGCCGCTCTGGCCATCTCCACTGCAGGATTGCTCCTCTGCACGTTCACCAGGCCTCCAACTTGACTTTAATAACTAACTAGCCCTCCCAGCAGGATGGACGCTGGGTCCTCTCCCATGCTCAGCACATGGAATCATGCAGTAGCCTGCACAAGTCAGGAAACGGGGGAAGGCTGAAACAGGGCAGGTGTCGGTCAGCTCTCCTTGAGGGGCCCAATGCAGGAGCAGAGCCGCTGGGCAGCAGGTGGATCTGTGACCTTCAGACTTTCAGCTCGCCCCGCGAAAGGGAGGCTGGGAGTCCATTCAGACTCAGGGAAAACCAGCTAGGTGCAGGCACTGATCTTTTGGGAACACAGGCGAACAACAACAACAACAACAACAACAAAAAAAATCCCCTGCTTACCTAGAACTTGTATAAGTCTGGCCACATAAGCAGAAACAGAACTCTATTGAGGGGGTAAATGCTATCAGGAAGCATAAAGCAGGGCGAGGGCAGAGAAGGGGTGAGAGACACAGTGAATGCTGCTAAAACACGGGAGGTGAACACTGCAGGCGGGAAGAGAGTGCAAAGGCCCGGAGGCAGAAGATCCTTCACGGCGGAACTAGAGGTACCGCTCCCCGGGACTAAAACCAACAGATAAATCACGCTCAGGGCAAGGGCTGCCAAAGCCTCCTCCTAGACCAGTCCAGCGCTGCCAGCTGCCGTGCGCTCGCCCCAGAGACACCTGAATCCTCAGGCATACCTAGCAGCCACTGTGACTGGGCAAGGAGTTATTGGGGCAGGGGAGGGGGCCTCCTTCCGTGGTAACAGAGCCCAGGGCCAGCAGCGGGTTGAAGAGTTGGAGGGAGGCTTGGCCTCACGATATGCACAAACAGCGCCGACTTAAACTCACTGGCACACACAGACCCGGTCCCTCACGCAGCAGCCTTCTCTGCACGTCCTGGCAGACCTGAGCCCCGACCACACACTAGTCTCGGCGCACCGGCCCCTTCCTGGAGATGCTTCTGTCTTCACGCCCCGGTGTCCTCACTCCCCCGCCCCCCGCCTCCACCTACTGCCCCCCCCCAGCTTAACCTTCCCTGGGCCTCAAGGGGCCGGAGCGCCCACCCAGCCAGTGCAAGAGCTGGTTAGCCCAGCACTCTAGAAACGCACAAGAACTTAACGTCGGAGTTCCAGGTGAGCTGGGGAAAGGATAGTGGATATTAGAGGCTATTAACCCTCCCCCCCCAAAAAAAAATAAAATAAACAAAAACTTTTGAAATCTGGTCCGAAGCTCTGGCTTCGGAACCTTAGAGCGCTTTCTCTACGGTACTGAGGACAGAGGGGTCGTGCCACCGAAGGCTCGGTCGTCTGGGGTGCAGGGACCCCTCGCCCTGGCCACCATCCCCTCTCCAGTTGCTCACCCGGTGAGTCGCCCTTGCCGCGCGGCCGAGGGTCGCTGAGGGGTCGCCAGGCGCACGACGGAAGGCGCGGCCCGGGCTGCCGGCTGCTGCTGGCCCCGGGCGCTGCTTCTCCGAGCCTGGACAGGTGGCTGGACTCGACGCGGCTGCTGGGCACGGGACGGCCTCCTGGCCTCGGCCTCGGCGGGTCTCCCGGGGCCCTCCTGGCCCGGCTGGTTCCACCCCGAGAGCGAGGAGCCGGGCAGCGGCGCGTCGGGCTCCCTGAACAGGCTGTACACCTTGGCAGCAGCCACCGCGGGGTGGCTGCCCACGGGGCGCCACAACCGGTTCGGATCCCGGCTAGCTGGTTCGTACCTCCCGACGGAATCCCTCTGGGCGCGACTTGTCCCCACCAAGAGAGCCAGGGCGAGCGGCAGGAGGCCCCTCCAGCGCACCCGTAGGACGCGCCCGGGGCGGCGGGCGGTGGTCGGCGCCCTCATGGCGCCAGAGTGGCTGCGGAGCTGTGGGTACCAGAGACCTGGCGGGGAGATGCTCTGCGCCGTTCGCTCCAGCGACCCGCCTGGAGGCTCGCCCCTTCCCGTCTAGGGGGCCTCCGAAGCAGCCGTCTGGGGGTGCGGGGATTCCCGGGTAAGGGCTTGTAGGGCGTGAGCTGCCCGGGCTGCGCCCCGAGCCCGGGTCCGCGGCACCTTCGCGCCCGCCCCGCGGCCGTCAGAAGGGGAACCGGAGGGTTTTATTTTTGGAAACCGCCCCCTGCTTCTTCGCCTCTTTTATCCACGCCATGCCCCCTCCTTGGAGGGACAGCTCGGCCCCCTTATTACGGGAGACAGGAATTCCAGCAACACCCACTTTGGCACCGAGAAGCGAGCGGGCGGCGAGGGGATTAACCCGTGAGGAGCTGCGGGCGACGTGGGGGCAGACCCGGGGACTGGAAGGACAGACGGCGTCTGCCTGGACCAGAGCACCCGAGGTGCCTTTCTCCTGCCCCGAGCAGCCGCGAATGGTCCACCCGTCCTGGATGCATTTCCTGCTCCGGACCTCACGGGGCTGCTGTTCAGGTCCGAAGGGGGTCGGGGAAGGTACCCAGACCCAGACTAATGGGGACAGAGCCCGAGGCGTGCGCGCCAGGTCTCGTCGCTTCGTCCCCTGGCCGCTGGGGGCGCAAGGCGAGACTGCAGGTGTCCCTGGGGCAGCTCCCCAGGAGCCGGACGCCTGCGCGGAAGGTCCCCCGGGGGCGTGCGCCCCCTGGTGGAGCGGGACGCGCCCTTGGCACGCGTGTCCTGCAGTGACACGTACTGCCAGCCGCCTTTGCTCCTAGATCTTAATCGGCTTCCGGTGGCATCAAGGCTTTGCCTGGGCCTGTGGGGATGATGGCTGCCTCTGGAAGACGTGTTCCCTCTTCCCGAAGGTAGACCTAGAGCCTCTTGAATAAGGTGGCTAAAGGAGAGCATTGCCAAAGAGGGAGATAAAAGCCAGGCCTGAGGGTGGCTCCGTGGCTCAATGGGTAGCGCACTGGACTTCTATATTCTCTAATAAAATTCAGAATTCCAAAAATAAATAAATACACACATACACACACACACACACACACACTCCAAGCCTGTGGCTTCTGGTCCACACTCCACTCCCTGGACTCCTTGGAGGATTTCCGAGGAAGACTGCACGAGCTTCTCTGGTTGGCCCTGCTGGGCTGGGTTCGCACATCTTCTTCTATCTGCTGCCGTTCTCCCCCATGTTCCCTGCCGCAAAGCCTAAAGGCCTGGGCAAGTACAGTTTTCCTGGAAGTGTGTTCACAGCCTGCTTCCTCCTGGGGAGACAGAATGAAAGAGCGGGTAAAGGGCACCACTTACAACTCCCCCTAACAGCCTCTCCCCTCCCAGAAACCTACCGTAGCACCGAAGGACTCAATACTAGGCATTGGCCTACGAAATCCTGTGTGCAGCTGGCTCTCTGGCCGACCGGAGTTTCCCCTTGCTCTGTACTCATTACAGAGCACCTGCTCTGGCCATCTCCACTCTGCACACACATTGCACACTGCCAGCACCGCTCTCCTCTCCACCTGGAGTGTTCATTTCTTCCCCTCACGCAAACATCACCGCACACCATCACCCAGGAGTGGCTGCTTTATCTTCATGGCTTTAGTAAGTTTTCCTTTCCTACTTGTTTTTTTCTTTTTTTCCCCTTTTCTTTCCTTTCTTCCCCCACCCCCACCAACCCCCGAAAAAGGGTTTCTCTGTGTAGCCCTGGCTGTCCTAAAACTCACTCTATAGACCAGGTTGGCCTTCACCTGGGAGATTTGCCTGCCCTCTGAGTGCTGGGATTAAAGATACATGCTGCCACCACCCAGCTCTTCCCTATTCTTTTAAAAATTACTTTTGACTAGGTGTAGGCTTGTCTCCATGTCGGCATGTGCACGTGAGTGCGGGGGTCCTTGGAGGCCAGCCGTATGGGATCCCTGGAGCTGGAGTTAGAGATGGTGTGAGCCAATTTAACCCTCTTTCTCTCCCCCCTATTTCCCCACCAATAGGCTACAGGTCTTATAGTGGGGAGAATGGGGTGGGGGGGGTCTATTCTTCAGACTCTCCTTCTACCCTGCAGTTCTGATGGGTCAAGTTTCCACAGGAAGTGTCAGAGAAGGAGAAGCAGGGTCTTGTTTTCTTATTTAAAAATTACTTTCATGGGGGCCGGAGAGATGGCTCAGGGGTTAAGAGCACTGGATGCTCTTCTAGAGGTCCTGAGTTCAACTCCCAGAAACCACATGGTGGCCCACAACCATCCATAATGAGATCCTCTGTCCTCTTCTGGCATGTAGGCAGAATACTGTACAAATAATAAATAAATAAATAAATAAATAAATAAATAAATAAATAAATCTCTTAAAAATTACTTTCAATTGTGTGTAGGTGTGTGTACGTATTGGTATGCGCACATGAGTGCAGGGGCCCTGGAAAGCCAGCAGTACAGGATCCCTGGAGCCGGAGATGCAGGTAGGTGGTTGTGAGCCAACCTGACGTAGTTCTGGTGACTGACGCTCCCAAGCACTGGTCAGCTCTTTCATACACATTTGTGGGGTCTTTGGGGGAGGGGCTTCCACCCTGCACTGTCATAGCAAAGTATTCACTGGCCAACCTCTTGAAGACCCTGCATCCTTTGACGCAAGAGACAACCCAGTCCACGCCAGGCCAAGCAGCGGTAAGGTGGCCACTTACTTCCCTAAGTGTAGCTCACGCTAGCCAAGTGTCACAGCCACAAGTCTCCATTCAGGGACGGCACGTGACTCCCTTCATATCCTTACTTGCTCAGTTCCTAAAGATGCTCGTTGGGATTTCCTAAGACCTCCCTTGCTATGCTTTGGCAGGGGAGGTGGGGAGTGAGGGGAGATCTGTAGCTGCCAGCGAGTGCCTAGGCACCAGAGGAAGGACAACTGGGGGAAGTCATAGCCTTCTCCTCTCTAGCAGATGATGGCCTCCTTCACTCAGCAGTCACAGGGAGTGTCCTCAGGGAAACCTCAGCTCTGTCTCTGCGACCAGTGTGCCCCCTTCCCAGTGAGGAACTGCATTTTCTTCACCTGTGGGCAAGAACCAAGGTAGTTTGTAAAAAAAAAAAAAAAAAAAAAACCTGTTCTATTTAAGATGCCTGAATAACATTCTAGGCTCTGCCACTCGAGCGGACATTGTGTGTGTGTGTGTGTCTGTGTGTGTGTGTGTGTGTGTGTGTGTGTGTGTGTGTAGATCTGGTGGGTTATACTCTAAAAATACACCCAGATGATGGCTTGGGGATGGGTGACGGAACTGCCCCACCAGGGGGGACTGGTATCACTAAACCCATTGGAAAAGGGAAAAACTTGAACCCTGGGTGACGGCTCCTGGTCCAAATGCTCATGGGGATGAATGGCCCCTCCATTCCCAGAAGGCTCAGTTCTCTCCCTTCACAATGATGAAGCAAGCCCGAGCCTGTGCTCCTCCTTCTACCTGCCCAGCACCTTCAGGGGCCCTCTTCTCCATCCCCCGATGCTCACCTCACATCCCCAAGAGCTTCTCAAGGCCAGAAACCTTGGCGTCATCTTGTCCCTGAGCTATTTTTTCCTCCTGTGTGTCCAAGTCATTATTACCGCTCTGTCTCCCCGGCCTGCATTTCTGGAAGTCTGCCGCCCATTCAGCCTCTCACTGTTTGCCTCAGCCAAAAGCCTCAGCAGACAGGCTTCCCTCACCACCCAGCACCCCTCCCACTCCTCAGTGAGTACAAGTGGTCCTTGGAAATCCCCACCCTGTTCTCCTGGGCCCAAAGCTTGGCATCTGCTGCCCATCTGAACACCATCCTCCTGTCTCACCTCCTTTGTCCTCCTCATGCCCACCTCCCCCTCATCCCCATAACTGCTGGGACCTCATGGCACAGCTTTTCAAAATTCTTTCTCCCATTAACACTCGAGTTCTGGTAGAGCTTTAACTTCATCTGGCTGCTTTAACCTGCCACGATTTATGGCCCTGAGCATGGGCCAGGCACTGTGTTAATCGTGCTGTGCAAATGACCCACATACCCAACCGAAGACAGGGCACTGTTTCTCAACCTGTGGGTCCCAACCCTCAACCCCCCACCCCCACCCCAAACACCATCGGAAAACACAGATATTTACATTACAATTCATAACAGTAGCAGAATTACATTCATGAAGTAGCAATGAAAGTAGTTTTATAGTTGGGGGTTGCCGTAAGGAACTGTATCAAAAGGCATTAGGGAAGAACTGGGAAGGACTGATATAGGGCATCATGGCCTCCATAAACACAAAGAAGGACACTGAGGCTGGGAGCAGCTCCTGGCTTCCCTGAGACCACGCAACTCGTCGATAGATAACAGATACGAGATTCAAACCTAGCTCACCTCAGCCCACGCTTTTAAGACCACCGTACCCTGCCTCCATCCAGAGCTCCCATCACAACTAAGGGGGACCCTCCCAACTACCCCCACTGCTGTGACCACTAAAGGATCTCTAGGGCACAGTCTCAGATGCCCCCCTCATGCCTGCCAGCTCACAATTTAATTCCCTGGAGAATTAGAATAATCAGGGCAGTCTGCTCCCCTAAACCCTGTCTGCCCGTGGTGCACAAGGGGTTAATGGTTCCCAGAATGGCTCCTGACTCACCATGTGTCATCTCCCTGTCACTGATGAGGCAGGAGAATGCTGTTGAACCTGCCCACCCGTCTGTGGAGCCTGGGGAGGGAAGGCCTCTCTGGAAAGCCCTGAAGAGTTCATTCGAAGGGGTCAATATATTGATCAGGACACTTCCTCACCGAGGGGGCGGGAGTCTGCTGGACAAATGGGACAACCTAATTGCTTTCCCATGTCTCGATGGAATGATGCTGGCAGCCAGAGAGCTACCAGAACCTGAACTAATTTGGTAAATAAGGACCAAAAGCAAGGACTGAATTTCTGCTTCCTTTGCTGAGACCCAGACTCCCCACAGAATTCCAAAGATTTTTCTTCCTTGGAAGTCACTGGACCTCCAGCCCTAAATTCCTCTCCCCAGGAGAGCTTGTTCCCCTGCTCAGAACAAATAACATATTTCCTGGTTAATTGGAAGTCAG